ATAATTGATTCAAGTGATTTCATCCAACTATGATTATTTATGTTCATGTTACATGTATTAATTGAATTTTAATTTCATTTCATATTATAACTATTGAATTTTAAATGTATTTTAAAGTTAATATCTAACTTTTGTATTTTTTACCAGTTTTGCATATATAATATATCAAATTAATCATCTTTTGATGAGTTTCGATTCAACATCTATATTTTTTTGATGAATTTCGATTCAACATTCATATTGCATGTATAAACTAAATAAATTATATTTATTTTTATAACAATAATAAAATTCTTTGTTAATATTAATTATAAAAATAAAATATTTATGTTTCAAGTAATTATAAAATATATACATCTAAGTTCCTAACCTTGACCACGGTAGTGATTAACTATTGGATGACACATACACACACAAGAATATAGACAAGTTTGTTTTTATTTATAACCCTTAGATGCATGTTAAATTATATTTAATCCAAAGGCTCACAAGACAAGTTTGTTTTTATTTTCAACCCTTAGATGCATGTTAAATTATACTTAATCCAACGGCTTAGAGTGGCCCTAAAAATATGGGGAATTCATAATCCTTTTTCTACCGCTTCTTATTCTCATCAGATATAAATAACAGAGGAGGAGGGAAAAGAGATACCACTGCATAAGTTGGGGTAATCGAAGATCTGCAGAGTAGAAATAACAATGGCTTTGACGGAGGAAGAGCTTGACATGATGATCAACTGGGACGTTAGCTCGTTGGGACGACTACTCGAACAACCGGCGATGAACAACAACTCGGATTCTAGCTCTTCCGGACAATCGGTGTTTCAACATCACGAACCCACTGCCATCGAAACGCCTCCACTTCAAACGGTACCTTCTCGTGTTTTGACGGATGCCGACTTTGATATGATGATCAACTTGGACTCTAGCTTGTTTGGACAGATTGAATTTGAACCTCAAATCCAAATTCCTTCACTTGAAACGGGAACATCTCGTGCTTCAACAGAAGCCAGCTTGACCAACTTATCAGGACCAATCGAGCCCACAGGGTCTCAACTGATGGGAATGGCTGACTCGAGCTCTAGCTCAATTGGACGATTGGAACCCGACGAGTCGACGACGCTTTACTGCCTGGAGCAATTTTGGTAAGTATGCCTCGAACACATACAAGACACGTACTGACGGAGGCCGACTTTGCAGGCTTAAATGTCTCAGCAATACTCAGCTTAGGCTCCCGCTTACAACGTCGCCGATATGAAGGCCTGCAAGAGGATAAAATTTCGAAATACCTCAATATCATTACGAATAATAATATCGTTGATGAAAAAACTGTGTGCGCTATTTGTCTCGACGATTTTTGTGGAAAGGATATGCAGGTTGCAATAGTGGATGGGTGCGGGCATAAGTTTCACGCTTGCTGTCTCAAGAGGTGGCTCCGAAGGAAAAACATTTGTCCTCTCTGTAGAAGGATTGCCATTAGCGTGCGAGAAGATTTTTTATGTTTTGTTTAAATCATGTATCTATTAAAATCTTCCAAAAACTATTATAATAAAATATTTATTTATTTGTCTATCAAATCATGTATCTATTAAAATCTCCAAAGAAAGGGCCTGATTTTCATTTGGATTTTTACGTCATGATGGTTATGAGTATTGGTTTGAGTTACATTTTCCTGATTGTTAATATGTATCTGCTTTGATTTGTGCTTCTTGTTTTTTCTTGAGT